CATATCGGACATTAGTACTTTTAAGAAAACATTACTTAACTTCATCGGTGGAAAAACTCGGCGAAGAATAGAGAGCTAGCCAGCTCCCTATTAAGTGAATTATACCTACGTCAACTCGAAATTAACTCGCTCATCGTGAATCTTCGATGAGATATCAAGGAAGTTTCAGACCAGAAAGAAGACTTTATATTGTTTGTAAGTTTGTAAAACTTTTGTATATATACATATCATTGTTTGTAATAACTGTTATTGTAAATTGTATTATTGTTTGTATATTAAAACATATTTGTATTAAAAAAAAGAAAATTGTGTGCATCAATCTTGTTGGCAAATATCATAAATTGGATGCATATCGGCATTTATTTAACTACTAAATCTAAATTACAGTTTCAGGCTATTAGAAATTGTAATATGTAAAATTATTCAAAAGGCTTTACGTAACTAAAGTATTCTTGTTTCATTACAAATGGCCCAGTAATCTGTCAAAACCCCTTGTCGTCCTATAGGGAAACAAACAAATCCTATTCTGGAATTGGACGTCATCACAAGACTATGCTTTCATAGCCAAGTTATTGAATTACGACTGGTATAACAAGTCAGCAAATATAACTTTATTTTTTAAACGAAAGGTTGCATAATGAGTTATCTGAACTGTCCACAATACAGGGATTGAGCTCGTAATTTCGTAATTTTAGGGTTATAAGTCTCAAGCTTACTGGCTTACTGCTGAGCCTCCAGGTGAGCAGTAGACATATTTATGTGGTTCGCAAGTGACAAAAATCGTATAACTAGAACGTTTTATTCAACAATTTCTTCTATATGAATAACAGGGGTTGAATTGGGGCGAAACTCCGTTCCGCCTCTTGAAGATTCAAACTGTTATCGTCCCTGTCTCCTAATTGAAATGTACAAGACCGCATCATTTAATATTTTAAACACATTGTTTTCAGGAAGTGTACGTCCTATGTTGTATCACGCTGCTAATACAAAGTGGATCCCGAAAGACAGTTCCATGTCATATTTATTAGACTGTAATAAGTAAAAGAAAAAATAGATTTTATAATCTCCCACCAAATGGTCGATTATTGTAAGTTGTTAAATGTCGCAACTTATAACAAATACAGATCATGGTAAAAATATTGAAAACTTAGATTAGAAACAAACAACAGCCCATGTTATCCAAGTTACTATTTTTGTGTATAAACAAAGTTTGTCTTCAGTGGTAAACTTCATATACATACATAGTCTAATCATGAAATGATAAAATCGTGGACTGATCGCTTACTTGTTTGTTAATTAGCCACTAGAAGTCTTTGTATCTTCTCCACATAAAGAAATGTACCACATCCAATGGAAAAAAGACTGATTAAATTTTGGACCATTTATTTGGTTAATAACTATTCATTAGTCTGAACACTGGTATTTCTCAAACTACAAGTGGTCAGCGACCATTGATGCTTCATAATTACAAGACAAACCAGTTATAAATATCTACAATGCTTCCTTGTGTAATTACTTTGTTTTTCTCAACAATATGTTCCTACAACGGATCTACAACGCTTAAATCCGGAGTTCGATTCCCAGCGGTGAACACAATGTGGCTTTGCTCTGAAACAACCAACCAACTTAACAGTAAGAGTTTGTTTGTTAAGCACAAAGCTAACAAATGGGCTATCTGCTCACTGCGGGTATTCAAACTCGAAATTTATAGGTATAAGCCATCAGACTTACCGTTAGCCACCAGATGGAAACAATATGGAAATCAAATAAATTATTGAAACCTTAAGAACAATGTGAAATAAATTATATTTATATGTTTAGTTTTTAGTACTATTTTTGTCGCAAGTAATAAGTTTGTAAAAAAAAATCAATAATTTTTTAAATAGTTGCCTATAAAATTGTTAACATTTTAATTTGTAACCTGTACAACACCTTACGTACATGTCGACTTAACGGTCAGAACAGAGACATCTAGTATTCAGCCATAAGAGCGTTGTTCTGCTCTTTGAACCGAATAACGAAATTGGTTGTAACTTTTATAACTAACCCATATATGAAAGCACGGAGCAAGTTCAGTAACATTATATCTCGAACCATGAACTCTGTGATCTTCAGCCTAGGACACCAATCCCTAGGCTTCGACCGGTTCAAATTGTTAATGTACATACATACTTAATGTACTATTTCTTGGGTTACTTTATAGTTTATAAAACTTTAAATGGCTAAAAACACGTTATGGTTTATAAGATTTAACATAGAGAAAAGAACTTTATATTTATAACTTTTTTAGATTCTAGTTAAAAAAGTGTCTTTAATCAGCAATCACATACAGATAATATTCAGTAAAAAGATCACTTGGACAAAACTAGTCATAAAAATGTTGACACAGCGTGTTTATAAAGAAAAGTTTTTATTTTCCCATACAAGAATCTTTTACCTTGTTCTTGGTGATCCCATGATACAGCTCACTTTATTTTAGAGGTTAAAAAGCTTGTAAATAAAAATCTCTAATTCGTACACCTTGAAGAGATTTAAAACACTATACACTGGCCTAAACAACGGTGTTACTCTTTCCCATTTCGCAGTAGCGTACATACAGGTGCAGCAGCCGAGGCAACTGCCCCAGGGACGTGCCTTACCTTACTCAATCCCAACTCATGAAAGATCCACTTGTGAGATATTTGAAATTGATTTTTTTTTATGCCAAAGAGGCCGTTTGATCATGCGCAGTCGGAAATATTATAGATCTACTGATGAGGTACAATAAATGAACACTTTTGCAACTTGGGCTGTTGCTGCAATTTTTGAGAACCCCCAACAAGAACCCCTTCACACACACATTAGCCATACTATTACGCGAAATAAACGCAAACATTGTTTTATTTTATTTAGGTTATAATTTAGTATCTTTATAACTTACGTAACTTTTTAAGGATTCTGCTGTACGAGAAGAAAAAAAAATTCTTTCCCCAGGGCAGGCATTCATAGGTTTTCGTTAGCCATCTGGTGTACCTATTGAGAATGATATAAAAGCAGTGAGAGGTGCCTCAATGTGAAAGTAAACTATTCAAACACTCAACAATATGTCGACCGGTCTCTATCTTTATTTAAAAAAATAAAAGGTTCTCATTATTGTTCATCTCAAACAAAAGGATAATTTATAGTTATATTTTTCCAAATTCATTTTAGTTTTTTCTGAATACTGATCAGTAGACAAAGTGGCTTTGCTTTCCTTCTTAAAGAAAAACATGAAAAAGTCAACAAAAATTAACAAACGTAAAATTACATATATTAAGCATCGTACTTTCATCAGTTCAAGCCTTACATATGTTTAGTATCGTAATTTGTAACAATACGAGTTATAAGGTATGTTAAGTATCGTACTGTAAGGGCCTTGCTTGGCCTGATAGTTAGGGCACTCGACTCGAAATCTGCGGATCGCAAGTTCGAATTCTCTTACCGATCATGCTCGTCTTTTCAGCTGTAGGTGAGTTATAATGTGACGGTCAATCCCTCTTTTTTGTTGGTAAAGAGTATCCCAATAATTGGCGGCTAATGGTGTGGACTGGCTGTCTTTCCTCTAGTCTATCACTTCTAAATCAGAGACGGCTAATGCAAATAGTCTTCGAGTAGCTTCGTGCGAAATTCAACAAAACAGATAATACACAAATATACTTTAAACACTGCGCGTCTTACTTATGTCAAGTGTCGTTCTTTAAACAATGAGTTCTACATATGTTAGGTATTGTACTTGAAATAATGAGTCTTACTTATGTCAAGTGTCGTTCTTTAAACAATGAGTTCTACATATGTCAGGTATTGTACTGGAAATAATGAGTCTTACTTATGTCAAGTGTCGTTCTTTAAACAATGAGTTCTACACATGTTACGTATTGAACTTTAAATAATGAGTCTGAAATATGTTAATTGTCATTTTTTTAAACAATGTGAGTTCTATGTATGTTAACATAAGATAATTCATTTATTTATGAAACTCTTACACAGCAGGATATATACAGTAAAAAACTGTCATTGATTTTTGTTAACTAATTTGAACTTAGATTCATCTGTAAACAGCGCTTTCCTCTAGCTTCATCCTTCCCATTGTTAACAGTCTGATGCTCAATTCAACCTTTTGTTTTGGTTATCTTTCTCCAGAAGTGGTTTTTGAGCAGTTGCACGTCCATTGAGTCCACTATCTTACTATTCTTGAGGTAACGTTCACACACTTGTATTTACAACAAGGTTGTTGGCAAGATCTGTAATCAACCTTAGGCTTTCTCGTACAGAATATAATTTGAGATATTTAACACAACATTTGTAAAGTTTCGAATTTTCCCTCAACCACTATTATTCACAGTGTAAATTATAAGCACGTGATTGTACTCTGATGCACTTTATTTCACACAATAAAGGGGTGACATTCTACTATCATTTGCGTTTTACATATTTGTTCCTCATGTTTCGACGTTGTACATTTGCTGTTGTGTTAAACTTGTATCAAAGTTTTTCTTCATTACCCATTCAAGCCGTACCATTATTAGTCTCAAAGTGGGTTCCTCGTCATCGAACTTAATCGTTAGATGCATAATCTCGCTTTTGATATTTATTGTTTTTTAATTTGAAAAACAAACAAACAAATCTTGAGCCAATAACAAGTAGAAACAGTTTCTTTTAGTTATTACTATTAGTAGTTTTATAAGTTATCGATTTGTTACACTACCATCCTTATGACGTCCAACTTCGCTGTTAATGCATGGCTCCAGTATCGTTTCAATGAAAAAATTCAACGCAGCATATATCAGCCTAGTATATATTTCAACATTATCAAATAAAGTTTTGTAAAAAGTAAACGAAAGGAACCTCGGAACTTACAGCAATATGCTCAGTTTTTGCGCGGAACTATAAATTGTAAGCAATAATTAAATATACTAACATAGTGAAGAAACAGGACATGAACCTAACTTTAAGGCCAACATTGATCTGGAATTACTGACTAAAGAAACCCTTAACATGAAAAAGCATTCTTCAACGCTGAAAAACATACAGTCGCAATTTAAATTACACATTCTTAAATACGCACAGTATTTTTGTTGTTACTCCTCTACTACCTGTATGTTTCAGTTTGGGTTGGATTATCGTTAATGTAGCAATGTATTTTAGTAATTTACTTAGGATTAATGTGAATTATTTATATTTTGCTTTAGATACTGGTGATGTAATATGTAGAATTCCGAAATGTTTATCTCTGTTTCTTATGATATAAATAAACAATGTTGTTCATCATAAGTGTCGTTATTATTTTTATTGTGAAACTTCGTTTTCCTTCGAACACATCGATTACTAACTGGTGTCATGGTTAGTAGCCTATACAATCACATAAATCTAATTAGTTACTTTTTTTAACTATTGCTCTTTTTTTTTAATAATCCACACTTCAACTGTTAATCTGATGGGGTGTTCAGGGATGCTCTGAAAAGGAATGTATGCGGACGAGGTCGGAATTCGATCCTGGAGCTTCTTGTTAGAGAGACTGGTGTGCCATCCACTCGTCCAGGAACATTCCCACTAGGCCTTGAATCCACTATTTCAATGTTGTTCAGGTCTTGTTGACTTCTATGCAAGGTTTAGTGAGTGTGGTATTAGTTATCTTTTATTTTACTTTTTCTCTTGTGTACTTCACATCCCAGTATTTTAGTGTTATTCCATATTGTCGTTCTCTTACATAATGAGCTATTACAGGAAGATCAGTATTACAGAATATTTATTTTGTCTATTATGCTCCTGAATTCTGACATCTGTTCGGTTTTTTGCTTCTCCAACGCTTTAGAGACTACCTTCACAACGAATATTATAACTGTTTTTTTTTGCTCTTCATTGAATCTTTAGGTATTTTGGAGCGATGGTGTGGTGTTGTGGGTCAGAAGATGTAATGTGTAAACAACATAAAACAGTCAGAAGGTGTAAACAACATAAAACAGTCAGAAGATGTAATGTGTAAACAACATAAAACAATTACATCTTCTGACTGTTTTATGTTGTTTACACATTACATCTTCTGACTGTTTTCTGTTGTTTACACATTACATCGTCTGTCTGTTTTCAGAGGAATTTCTAGCACAGTAGAGTAAAACTGTGTGTCTGTAATTTTACTCCTATTTTTTCTACGGCATAAGCCACACACGAGAAAAATAGGAATATAATAAGTCTTCAACATACACCTAACTGATAACACTTGAGGCAGATCCGTACTGTTACCTAGCGCATTCACAGGTGATTTGATAGAGGAACGACCTTCAGTGAAGGTTAGAGCTGCAAAATAAGCAGGGGATAACTGTGACGGATAAGTGGTCGTGGAGCAAACAGCGACAACCAGCAGGATGTGAAGTCCTCAACGGCGGAGCAGGCAGAAGAAGATGTCAGAATCCCATCGGCTATGAAGGCGGGTGAATGCTGCAGCAGAGCGAGACCACCAATCGTCTCTTTGCCATTGGATCAAGGTCTCGTTCTGTCAATTAACCGTGTAGAAGTTTGTGTGCAACAGCTTCTTCACAATAAAATAAGTCACGTATAGGCGTCTCCCGTGGAAAATAACATAGTTTAGGTATCCTCTGACCCACAGATAAGATCATTATGGAAGACTATGATCCACGACCGCAAGGGATTGCCACTATAAAAATAGCAGCTAACTGATAAAACACTCATAAAACCTAGCATAAAAGTCAGCAAACTTGGATACCCCTCTTAAAATCATCTAAATAGTTGATTCAAATAATAAATGGAAGACCCTGGACGAGTGGATGGCACACAAGAATTTGTAACAAAGAAAAAAAAAGGATCGAATCTAGACTTGCCACCACGCAGTCATTCTCACGACGTCTCCGAAGATGGCAGCAGAGTAGGTATTGAAACATTGGCTATAAAATAAATAGTAAAAATAATAAAATAATTAGTATCTAATAATAAGAAAAGAAATGGTAACTAATGAATGAATAGACTTCGGTGAACGTAAGGTTACTAGCTATGACAACGCAACGGTGGATATCTGAACCACAATTTTACCGTAAGCACTTAAAGATGCCAGCAATTCACAAGTTTTCGCATCTCATAATATTTCCTTATATAATGATCATTAGATATTCTTAGAATATTTTTCACGCGGACTTCAGTGTATTTAATAGTACCCGTTTAAAATATATTTTGGAGAAAAATGATTTTGATTTTACTAAAAACAACAAAACTCAAATTATGGCACAAGTGAAAGATGTAATGTGATATACGTCTCAAATCCAAGCCTGATGGATTTCCATAAACAATGGTTTCTCTAGTGTTTACAAATCTGTGCTCAGCACGGAGAAAATCACTGTGGCTTATTCACTGCATCAGTTTTTCTGGCGGGTTATCATACGACACGTGCCATTCAGCAGTAAGGCTTTCCTAATCCGGAACGTCACAACAGTCACGAGGAGAAAAGCAATTTGCTAATTCTGTTCTATAACATGATTAATCTGTCGCAGCTCGTGGGTCTGCATGGAAAACGGAGGGGGGGAAGGAAAAATTTGTGAGATATGTATGCTTTATCATCGATCCGATTATATGGCGCTCAAATATATACATATATATATATATATATAT